ATCGTAGTACTCAAATTTCATACGCCTACGAGTGTCCAATGTTGGTTGTGCGCGACGTGAAAAGGTGCAATGATCAAATCCATGTCGCTAATCACGACCTCAGGAAACCAGTTGCGAACCTTTTCGTACTTGAACTTCATATCGCTATCAAATAGTTTTGCGAAAAAAAATGAGCGTAGAGAAGCGATGAGTCTTGAATGGATAGTCTAGTCCGCGGATAGATGTAGCGCTAGTCTTCTTTCTACAAAACGTAGACAGTGCTGCGGTGAGCCGGGAGGACGGACTTCTCGGATCTGGCCTAGCCCGACGGATATCGGCATGTAATCACGCGACGTGTATTTCGATCGCTAAAACTAGCAGTTCTCTCTCTCTCTCTCTCTCTCTCTCTCTCTCTCTCTCTCTCTCTCGCTCTCTTCTCTCTCTCGCTCTCTCTCTCCTCACATATGTGAATACGCAGTCACTACTAGATTCCGTTTAAGTGTATCATGCAAACTGAAGGAGGATCCTTGGCCGCACAGCTAGCACTGCGATGGAGGAAGCTTCATCATGATGGGGTTGGGACTTTTTCTTCTTGGATGTACAGGTACATTATGAATATTCGGTTGCGTTGAAAATGCTTCAATTAATCATGATAGCTGTCCTCTAATATGCGTCCCAAAGATCTTGATCACATATCGAATTTTGCTGACTCAGCACCGAGACTCTCCCTCTGCCTTTCCGAGTGTCGTTGTTTCTTACTGCTCCACCTCCTCCTTTTTCCTCATTCGCCCCCCAACCAGTTGCGCACACGTGCGCGCAAAGACATTGGCGTGAGCAATATATTTGCTAGAAAATTACGCAGGTGTCCTGAGATGAGCTCAACGAGAACGAAAATCTCGTGAGGAGAAAAATGACAAAAACTCATTGGATTTTAATTTCCGGTACGAATACAATTTGTGAGAGCTTGGCCTACAGATCCTTTGTCGTTTCAAAACTTAAAGCCAGAGGTGTCAAAAAAGTTACCATAAGGCACAAGGATCACCGGTCCGTGGTCATCATCATCAACATCATCATCATCATAGCCACGACTCGACATCGTTCGTACACGCATTCGATCTGGCACCTCGTCGTTAGGGGTTCATTGAAGACCTTCCTCGATTACGAGGAAGGATATATATTGTTCTCAGCTGACCGGGAGTGCTGCAAAATGGACTTCTGTCTCTCGAGTCTCGAACCAGAGCTATCTCGCCAGATAATTACGCCGTTGTCGATTGATATCTCCGCTCGCCTTAGCAACTCGACCAGTTGACGGCGAAGATTTGTGTGAGCTTCAGATCCTGCGAGTCCATGGTGATTATTCTGCTCCTTGGAGGTTTTTCGGGATTCACTCGCACTTCTGAGTTAATGTTGAGGTTCCTGATCTTGCCGCACTCGCTTGCGACTGCGTTCAGGAAATAGTCTGTCACCTCGTAGTTGCCATCGAACTGGCCGTTGAAGACGTGAGTAGCTTGACCCGACCCTATCAGCGCGGAAATGTAATAGCTCGTCTTCACGGTTCCCTTGACGCCCGCGTCCAGCTTGGCGTACCCGCGCATCGTCACCGTCCCGAGAGTGAAGAAAAAGCCAGGTGGGTAATTGAGCATGACGCTCACGACGCAGGACTTGCGCATGTTCTGTTGCCCTTCGTCCATGGTGGCAGTGAAGGCGCTGAACATCACCGTCAGCGCCTTGCTGTCGCCGGAGATGGAACCTTGAACAGATCCTACGGGACAGCCATCGCCGTTATAGTCGAAGCCATCGATCTTGACAGATCCCGGTGGAGGAGCACCGGCATGCACGTTGACGGCGAGCTGGAGGACTGCGAGGAGCAGCAGCACCGCGATCTCCGCCACGGGTGAGCTTGACCGGAACACTGTCTTCATCCTGACTCTTCTTCTGATGCGTGACGATTTTCCGCCTTCTTCGGCTGGCTGCTTGATAAAGACAACGAGCAACACGCGCCAAGCACGGCGATGGCTGCAAGTTCGAGGTCGATAGCTAACACACAACCCAAACCTACTCCTTCCCTTCCACCCCAGCCGACTTATGGCCGCTCCTCTGCTCTCCGTCCTAGAAAGACTTGGCACCACAACGACACGGAACACCCCAACAACAGCTTGATCATCCTCGCAACGGACGTTTACTGTCCCGGTGGCTTGGCGATGTGGGGTTTTATACAGAATACATAGCGAAGTTGCCCTGTTGTGCTACGTGCCGACTCTCGGCCCCTCTTCCTATGACTCAGTCAGCAGCAGGGCGGTTTCCAAAATCAGTCTCATTGTCCTTCGGGACATCCGTTAAAATAGGAACGATACAGAGAAGACAAGATTAGGATGACACGCATAAGTCGAGAAATATGGTCCAAAACATAGAACAAAAAAAAGATAATAATAATACTCATAATAATAATAATAATAATAATAATAATAATAATAGGGGAAAATTTGCGAAATGCCCCTGAAATTTTCGGTAATTGGCGATTTGCCCTCGGAGGGCCGAGGTTTTCTGATTTGCCCCTGGGGCCTCTGAACTTCCGTGCAGGCCCCTGTCAGTGAGGGGCACATCTTTTCGTAATGCACGTACTGGACCTGCGGTCCCATTTCACGTGGTACCTGTCCGATTTGCCCTTTTGCGGGGCCTGCATCTTTGCGAGATGCCATTGGACAGGGAGGCGCGAAGATTTCGAATTTGAACGCTCCGCCGCCAAAAAAACAGGGCTGCACTCCGTATCGCCCTTGGCCGACTTCCACGTCCGTGACTTTGACATCTGGCGAAGGTATGTGTTCCACCCCGTCTTCCACCCCGTCTTCCACCCCGTCTTCCATGCCTCTCCCTCTCTCTCTCTCTCTCT